ATAGCAAACTAAGGAATCGTAGAATTGTCTGACTGGAAGGGACCTCAAGAGGTCATCTAGTCCAGTCCCCTGCACTCGTGGCAGGACTATTATCTAGACCAGTGGTGGGCAACCTGCAGCCCGTGGTCCACACACGGTCCATCAGGGTAATCCGCTGGCAGGCCATGAGACAGTTTGTTTACATTGACCATTTGCAGGCACGGCTGCCCACAGCTCCCAGTAGCTGGAGTTCACCATTCCCAGCCAATGGGAGCTGCGGGAAGCAGTGTGGGCCACAGGGACGTGTTGGCCACCACTTGCCGCAGCTTCCATTGACCAGGAACACCAAACCATGGCCACTGGGTGCTCTGGGCAGCCATGCCTGTGGACGGTCATTGTAAACAAACCGTCTTGTGGCCTTCCAGTGGATTACCCTGATGGGCGTGCGGCCCATGGGCGCAGGTTGCCCACCACTAATCTAGACCATCCCTGACAGGAGTTTGTCTAAACTGCTTGTAAAAATCTCCAATAATGGAAATTCACAACCTCAGACCATTTCTCTAGTTTGTCCAGATTGGCACTATATTTACCCTTTTCCAGCCCTCTGGAATTTCTCCTATCTTCCATGAGTTTTCGAAGAGAATCACTACTGACTCAGATATCTCCTCAGTCAGCTCCTTGAGTATCTAGGATGTATTTCATCAGGCCCCACTGACCAGAAGACATCTATCTTGTCTAAGTAATTTTCCCTATTTTAGCCTCTGATCTAACTTCATTTTCACTAGCATTCACTAGACATCCAATTGCTACTAACCTTTTTGGTGAAAACTGAAACACACAAGTCATTTAACACGTCTACCACTTCCACATTTTCTGTTACTGTCCCTCCCTCCCCCCATTGTGTAACAGGCCTACCCTATCCTTGGTCTTCTTCATTCCAATGTATTTGAGGTGTTTTCTTGTTACCCTTTATGTCTCTAGCTAGTTGAATCTCGTTTTGTGCCTTGACCTCTCTAATTTTGTCCCTACATATTTGTGTTATTTCATTTGTTTATATCATCCTTTGTAATTTGGCCTAGTTTCCACTTTTTGTAGGACTGTTTTTTGAGTTTCAGATCATTGAAGATCTTCTGGTTAAGCCAGGGTGGTCTTTTGCCATACTTCCTATCTTTCCTACGCAGTGTGAAGTGCTCTTGTGCCCTTAATAATGTCTCTTTGAAAAACTGCCAACTCTCTTTAACTGTTTTACCACTTAGACTTGCATCCCATGGGGTCTTACCTCCCAACTCTCTGATTTCGCTTAAGTCTGTTTTCTTGAAATCCTTTGTCTTTATTGTGCTGTTCTCCCTCCTAGCATTCCTTAGAATCATGAACTCTACCATTTCATGATCACTTTTACCCAAGCTGCCTTCCACTTTCAAATTCTCAACCAATTCATCACTATTTGTAAAATGAAATCAAGAATAGCCTCTCCCAGAGTAGATCTCTTCACTTTCTGAAATAAAAAAATGTCTCCAATACATTCTAAGAATTTGTTGGATAATCTGTGCCCTGCTGTGTTATTTTCCCAACAGATATCTGGGTAGTTGAACTCCCCCATCACCACCAAGTTCTGTGCTTTGGATGATTTTGACTTCATTGACTTCAATGGAAGCAGAATTTGGTTTATCAGATTAAAAAGCAGAATAAGAAATACACAGAGGAAAAAAGTTTTCTCTGTTGATCTGGGGAACTGCAAATGTAGAAATACATTCTGAAAAAGAACAAGAAACAATTTCCCCTGTTTAAAAATTAAATTGATTTTAGCTATGATAATATAACAGCATCTTCCAACTGAGGATTTCAAAGGTGTTTTACAAACATTAATGAGTTAAGCTTTTTAACAAACCCATGAAATAGAAATATATCATTATCCCCAACATACAGATGGATAAACTGAAACAGAGGTTAAATAATTTGCTTGAAATCATACAGAAAGTCTGTGTCAGAGCAGGGAATGAAACTCAGAGCTTCTTTGATCACAATACCAGCGTCTGCTCTAAATGTTACTTGGGCTAGTTCTTGCTTTCATTAGCATCACTGGCAGTTTAGCTATTGATTTTAACAGGAGGAGTAGGCCTTTTGTGAATGTTTGACTAAGCACACAATTCTATCATTAGGAAATCCTTCAACGATCCTTGACTAGGAACTACAGAATCATGATTTTTTTAAAAAAAGTTTTAAAGTACCCTAGAACTTTACAAATAGTTTCAATGTTTTGCAATGTAAGTTCTACATTTGTTCAGAATACACTTTAACCATGTGGGAGAGGGGCTAAAAAGAGTGTGTTTTCAATCATGTTAGCTCAGTCAAGTTAAAGTAATGTGACTGAAAAGCCCTAATAAGGCTCCTCATAACCTGCAACATGCCCAGCTATCACACCATCAAATGTGTTGGCCTGCACATTAACAGGGTTGCACATTCAGCTGTGTTAAGCTACCTTGATTGAGCTGGCACAGCTGAAACACATCCTCTTTTTGCCTGTTAGGACATACCCTTTTTGGATTCCATAAATGTCTAACATTTCTTGTCTCCCCTTGAAACCCACATTTAATTTGCACTGACACTCATTGGCATTACACATTTATAATGAGAGAGGACAGAATTCTAAATAAGATTGCAAGAAGATGGAGAAAGTTAGTAGATACACTTCAATATGTTTTTGCTGTCTATCAATCTGTCTCTGAGACCTGAGTGAATACTTCACAATGAATAATTTATCAGAAAGATTTAGGCTCTTTTCGCTTCTTGAATATTTGTGGGGAGACTGCAATGTTCACTATATGAAAATAGTTGCAACATTTTTAAAATTATTTCAGCCATACGGATTGATTTTGAACAGTTCTCTGAGAGTCTTCAGTATTCACTGTTTCATCTGTATTATTTAATTGTAATTAGTCAGACAGGTCACATGTTCTATGCTGGATGAGTGAACATGTACTTCAGACAGGAATATTTGCATATATGTCTTTACAATTCATTTTCTTTGAATATATATGTCAGTTAGAGCTGGCTGGAAAATGCAATTTCCCCCCCCACAAATTTTTTAAGTTAAAAAATAAATCCCCTTTAAAAAAAAATGTTTATTCCCCAAATTTTCAGGTTTCCAGTGCAAGTATCCAAAATTAAACAAAATGACAATCACCATTTCATTTCAATAAAAGTATTTTAAAATTAAAATGATGGTTTCTCTTCAATTTAAACTGTCATTTCATTTTGATTGTCGGATTTTTTTCCCTATTTTTTCTGGATTAAGGGGCTGCTTTCCCCTCTACCTTCTTTAACTTGGAAAATAGTAAGGAAGAGTATAAAAGCAGGGTTTCCCTACTTTCAAAACACTTCCAAGCTTTTTCAGTGAAAAATCGGGGTCAAACTAACAAAGGGAAAGGGAGGACAAAACCACAAAAATCCCCCAGCCTAAAATGAAAAACTGAAATTTTTGGTTTTGAAAAACTGAAACAAAATGGCATTTTAAGGTGAGACAGAACAAAAATTTTCATTTAGTTTAGATATGGTGATTCAAAATGAAATTTTTCATTTAGCATTTTCCAGTCAGAATATAGAGAAGTTTAATCAAAATCAGTTTTCTGTGGAAAATTATGCCATGAAAAGTTTGGACAGCTTTAATGCTGGTCAAAATTAACTTTTCATGAGCTATCATAAAACTAACTCAAGGAATGCAGATTACTTTTAAAATTGGAGCAAGGAAAAGCTTTTGAAGTATTCTCAGAACTTCACTTATTTATTACTACCCATGGAATCTCTCATTTCTAAAATCAAAGGCAATATGAATGGAACAGTCTAGTTTTAGAAGAGCTGTTGTGTCTCTCTCTGTAATGAGGGACAATGAAATTACATTCAAAAGAATCTAGACTGGTTAGGTAACCTAAGTACATTCAGGATGCAATGTGAATTCAGTTCAGTTCAGATCAACTATGTAAAACTGGATATGGTAGCCCAGAAAAGAAAGTAGAGTTTATAAATGGGGAAGTCATTTAACACATAGATTAGAAAAAGAGGGTCTAAAGAAATTTCCTAAAATGTCTGTTTGTTTTAAATTACACAGGATAACAAACCCATGTTACTTTACAACAAATATCACTTTTAAGCACTTGCCATAAAAATATTAGCTGCTTGGTTGCTTATAGCTCTCATTGGAAAAAAGAATACTAGTCCAACCACAGAGGACTGTTTAAAATAATAATAATATAGGAGCCAATTACATACCCAGCAAAATAGACAGAGGACAAAGACACTTTATTGCCTTTTTATTCGATACTCAAAAGTACATTCACTTGCAAGAAAACCAGGACACATGTCCAATTTTTGTTGAATATTAACATTTGATAGACATGCCTATCTATTAAATGTGTGCAATCAGAGATTTCATTCAATTTAATAAAATTGCTAAAACCAACATGTCATAGGTGTTGTAATGATGGTCACTCTGTAATCTAACACCCCGTTAAATAGAGAGATCGGATGATTCTGTTCTGGTATAGTGTCTCTTTAATCAAACACTCACTATTATAATGATTATTTTGTTTCTGACATTTACCTGGAAAGGATTTGTAAACTGTGTTCATACTTCCTAAATAAATAAATCATAAACAAATAAAAAGTATCAGCACTTACACCTTCCATAATGTGGTACCTTAGATATGCCAGTGTTTCATTGTGAGACAGATATCTCAGAGACTGTACTATGGGGATTGCTATTGTTTATAAAAGTTGAGTTTTTAGTGGGAATCCATGTGGGAGATTTCACATAACAATATGTATGGTAATGGTAATAATTGTAAGTACTTACATCAGTCCTGATCCAAAAACCACTGAAGTAATGGAAAAGTCTTCCACTGAGTTCAATGGATTTTGGATCGGGCCCATAGTGGCTTCTGACTTCACCCGTTAATGTTTGTAAGCTATTTTGAATTCTCACAACATACCTGGGAAGTAGGAATCTGATCCAAATATTTTAAAACTATATGTGATTTTTCAACACTAAGGAATAGAAGGTATTTAAATGACATCTGCAGTCAGCTGGAATTGATATATCAGAGATGAATTAGTCCAATTTATTTATTTCTCAGGATTTTAGGAAATGTATACATATTTTGTTAGGAACAATCCAATGTTCAATCTCTTTTGTCTTTGACATTATGTAAAATGAAAACATCTTTGACAGTACATAGTATGGAACCAACAAAAACTGTTAAATCCAATATAAACCTTGTCTCTTTGACGTATATAGGGGACTAGAATCCTCTCAAAACTCAAGGATTATATGCACATAATCCTTATCAGTGTTAATGTTATCCCAACTAAATCTCTGAAGATCAAGAGGAAAATATATCCCCGAGTTCAGAAATGCTTCATTTTTCAAAATCACCTAGGTTGGTAAGTGGGATTTCCTTCAAACCCAACAATGTTAAAAATAATGCAGTCAGCTTGTGCAGTATCATGGATGCTAGACAGATCTATTTCACTGAGTTGAACCTTTATAGATTAGGAACTGACTGGGTCACAGAATCTGTTAGGGGGAAGAGTTTTTCCTCTTTGAAAGATCCCAGAAAGTGGTGATGAGTAACTGCTCCTCTTCTTAAAGATACCTCAGCTATAGAGTTCCACAGGATTCAATTTTGTCTCTTGTGTAAGTTTCGTGCAAGGTCACTATCAGATATTATCCATACGATAACATTACCCAGCTTTCTCCTTCTTGTCTAGGACTGATTATGTGATCTCCCTGCTATTCTTAGGAAATAGGGACTTCTGTGAAAAGCAGCTGGCTAAAGCTCAATCGCAGCAAGAGAGAGGATGATGACTAGCATAAGGAAGCACTTTGAGGAACTGTCAGGAGCTGTGACTTTACCCTTAAGGGCATCCACACTCACATTGTCAAGCTAGTCAAAAATCTCAGTCCTGTCCTCATCTTTGCTTCTGGAATTTCAGAAAGAAGTTTTAACTAAAAATGCTCTCTCCCCTTTTTTGCTGGCTAAAAGTGAATCCTCTCCATTTGGATGAGGACTTACCTACAATAAACAATGTGTTTCTCACCTCCAAGGTAGATTACTGCAGTGTGTTTTTAAATGGGTTTGTACCCGCAGGCAACAAAGAAGTTGCTGCTTTTGTCTAGCCTGTTTTCTAAATGGGTATGATGGGTGGACTAGGGCCGGAGACCCCCTGCTGGAGGCCTCAGGGTCTTGCCACACCCGTCTCAGGTAAGGAGCAAGTCCTCCAAGCAGGCGAGAATGGCTGCAGGAGAAGCAGCCAATCAGGGGCCAGGAGGGCCCTATAAAAAGGAGCTACAGAGCCAGAGACAGGGCAGTTGCTGCTTGGAGCTGGAGGAGAAAGGACTGCATGCCTGGCTGGCGGAAGGAACTTGAGCACAACGGACAGCGAAGTGTGGGCAGGGACCCGGGGAGCAAGAGGCTTCTGGCTAGCTGCTAGGACTGAGCCAAAGACAGTTAAGAACATAAGAACATAAGAATGGCTGTACTGGGTCAGACCAAAGGTCCATCCAGCCCATCCTGTCTACCAACAGTGGACAATGCCAGGTGCCCCAGAAGGAGTGAACCTCACAGGTAATGATCAAGTGATCTCTCTTCTGCCATCCATCTCCACCCTCTGACAAACAGAGGCTAGGGACACCATTCCTTACCCAACCTGGATAATAGCCATTAATGGACTTAACCTCCATGAATTTATCCAGTTCTCTTTTAAACGCGGTTATAGTCCTAGCCTTCACAACCTCCTCAACCAAGGAGTTCCACAGGTTGACTGTGCGCTGTGTGAAGAAGAACTTCCTTTTATTTGTTTTAAACCTGCTGCCCATTAATTTCATTTGGTGGCCCCTAGTTCTTATATTATGGGAACAAATAAATAACTTTTCCTTATTCACTTTCTCCACACCACTCATGATTTTATATAGCTCTATATTCCCCCTTAGTCTTTTCCAAGCTGAAAAGTCATAGCCTTTTTAATCTCTCCTCATATGGGACCCGTTCCAAACCCCTAATCATTTTAGTTGCCCTTCTCTGAACCTTTTCTAATGCCAGTATATCTTTTTTGAGATGAGGAGACCACATCTGTACGCAGTATTCAAGATGTGGGCATACCATGGATTTATATAAGGGCAATAAGATATTCTCTGTCTTATTCTCTATCCCTTTGTAAATGATTCCTAACATCATGTTTGCTTTTTTGACTGCTGCTGCACACTGCGTGGACATCTTCGGAGAACTATCCACGATGACTCCAAGATCTCTTTCCTGATTAGTTGTAGCTAAATTAGCCCCCATTATATTGTATGTATAGTTGGGGTTATTTTTTCCAATGTGCATTACTTTACATTTATCCACATTAAATTTCATTTGCCATTTTGTTGCCCAATTACTTAGTTTTGTGAGATCTCTGAAGTTCTTCACAGTCTTCTTTGGTCTTAACTATCTTGAGCAGTTTAGTAACATCTGCAAACTTTGCCACCTCATTGTTTACTCCTTTATCCAGATCATTTATGAATAAGTTGAATAGGATTTCTCCTAGGACTGACCCTTGGGGAACACCACTAGTTACCCCTCTCCATTCTGAAAATTTGCCATTTATTCCTACCCTTTATTCCCTGTCTTTTAACCAGTTCTCAATCCATGAAAGGATCTTCCCTCTTATCCCATGACAACTTAATTTATAACTTAAGAGCCTTTGGTGAGGGACCTTGTCAAAGGCTTTCTGGAAATCTAAGTATACTATGTCCACTGGATCCCCCTTGTCCACATGTTTGTTGACCCCTTCAAAGAACTCTAATAGATTAGTAAGACATGATTTCCCTTTACAGAAACCATGTTGACTTTTGCCCAACAATTTATGTTCTTCTATATTCTTCTACAGTTTGCTAGCAGGGACTGGGGGAGCAATGAAGGAGCTCCTGTCTGGCTTCATACCCTGAGTAGGGACTGAGCCTGGGGAGGGCCACGGGAAGATAGTGTCTTCAGGGAGGAAGCCCTGGGAATACAGTCCCATACCAGGGCTGGGACTGGTTTAAAGACTGCGGACACATTCAACCAGAGGGGTGATCATGAGAGGTGGGTGCCAACCCCGTTACATTTGGTACCAGAAGCGGGGATCCTTCGGATTGACCCCTCATTAACAAGGGGCACAATTATGAAAGAGGTGATCCACCTGTTGGTGGCAGGCCAACAACAGCAAGAGCAGCAGCAGTGCAGACCCTGCTGATGCAATTAATGGAAAACATGCAGATGCAACAGGAGGCCCAGTTTGCGGCACAGCAACGGTGGCAGGAGATCCACTCCAACCAGCAGGAGTGGATACAGAGGTGGTTGGTCACACCACACTCGAGAACCCAGTTGGTGATGGAACTGGTGGCCATTTGGCTCTGGGTCTGGTGAAGCTCAGACCAGACGATGACACTGATGTCTTTCTCCAGACATTTGAGTGGGTAGCCGAGGTAGCAGGCTGGAAAGAGCTAACTTGGACAGCCTGCATAGCACCATTCCTGATGGGTGAGGCACAGGCGGCTTACTGAGTGATAAGTGATGAGCAGGTGAGTTCCTACCCTTTGGTGAAGGCAGCCATTTTGGATTAGCTAGGGCTGTCTCCAGAGGTGTACGGGCAAAAGTTCCAGATGGAATTGTTCGCATGAGGGGCACAACCACAGGTAATGGCCCAGAAGTTACAAGATCTGGCGACACACTGGCTTTGCCCAGAGACCAGCTCAGTGGAGAAGCTCCTGGATCAGGTGGTCCTAGAGCAATTCCTGAAGGTCCTAGGCGGGGCACAGAGCTGGGTAAGGCATTTCCAGCTGGCCTCAGTGGGGGAAGCAGTCGAGTGAGCTGAGACCTACTTTGAGGCTGAAGGAGAAAAACGGCCCAAGCTGTACAGTAAACTGAGAGAGATTCACCAGGGGGTGACCCCAGGAGGCTTGCAAGGGGGAAAGACCCCAAAGGATTCTAGACTCAGGGGGTGCACAACAACAGCAAGGGGTCCGGAGAGCCCTGCAGCCTATGGGAGGTACTAGTGGGAAGGAGCTAAGAGACCTGGTAGACTGCTACAGGTGTGGCCAGCCCAGGCATATTAAAAAGCACTGCCCAGTAACGGAATGTGACTACCTGAACTGTTATTACAGTATAACTAATCGGTGGGGGTCTACTTTCAAGGTCAGGGTGGCCCCACCATGGGTAGTGACAATCAGACTGAGAGGAACTATGGTTAAGGGTGTGGTAGACTCAGGGTGTGGGAACACCTTGGTTCAGGAAGACCAAGTGAGGGCAACTGGCCTAGACTGACAACACATAGTACATGTCTCCTGTGTACATAGGAAGACCTGAGTCTACCCTACAGCAGATGATGGGCCAGAGGTACAGGTCCGGAGAGCTCGACTCCATGTTGGTGTGGTCAAGGATCTGCCATGGCCTGTAATCTTGGGGCGAGACTGGGTGATCTACTGAGCCCTCATGTGGGAAGGACCCAGACAGCAACCCAGGACTGAGAGGGTCCAGGCCCAGATGGGAAAGAATGTAGAGGGGCTGGGAGCTATGGTAAGGAGACCTCAGAAAAAAGCCCAGCGGTGAGACCAGAATACCTCAGACATGAGGGACCTACTGAAAAAGTGCCATCTCCAGAGAGAAAGTTATTAGCCAGATGGTCCAGGTAGAGAAGAAATTGGCCCGGTTACAGATGGAAGCCAAGGGAGAGAGGGAACGATACCTAGCCTTGCAGGAAGCCTAGGCCCAGAGGGAAAAGGATCAGAGGGCCCAGCAGGATACAATAGAGGCTAGGCCCAGCAGGGAACAGCAGGGACCCAGAGAGAGTTCAGGGTCCAGTGGAATACTGTGGGAACTCAGGCTAAAACACCCAGTGTGCTAACTAGCAGAGGCCCAGACAGATTCAACCCAGCTGGGAGAGGCAAAAGAGAAGGGCTGGAATTGAGAACAGGACCCTAGAATAAGGAGAGGAATAGTGCAGGCCAGCTTTATGAGCTCCCTCCTAAGAGAGGATGACCTGGCGAAACAACTGGAAGCAGCAGAAAAGAAACTGGAGGATCTCATGTTCAAGAATGAGCAGCTGAGTGAAGAGCTCTAGTTCACCATGGAGGAAAAAGAGTGCTACGTGGTGTACAATTATGAGACACAGTTAGAGGTTCGGCATATAGAGACCCCAAAGTCCAGGAGGTGAAAGTGAGCCAAAGTACCATGAACACACTCTCCAGGCAAGAAAGACCTGGGAGAGTAGACTCTGGACACCAGGGCAAAGCCTGTTCAGAAGCTCTCCAGACAGTGAGGCCTGGGGAGGGAGCCCTGATTGAAAGGGATGAGGACTAATACAGACTTTCAAGGTGAAGAGGGCAAAGTGAAAAGGACCCTGCTAGATCAGGGCACCGGGAGACTATAACTAATAGCCCTCCGGACAGAGAAGTCTGAGTGGGGGAAGATCCTGCTAATGTGGGACAAAACAGGGTAAAAGGGGGAGTACCCTCTATAGAACTACCACCCGAATCCTGTCGGGGAGGGGAGGAGTGTGATGGGGTGGACTAGGGTCAGAGTCCCCCGGCTGGAGGCCTCAGGGTCCTGCCACACCCATCCCAGGTAAGAAGCAGTGGAGAGGTCCTCCATGCAGGCGAGAGTGGCTGAAGGGGAAGCAGCCAATCGGGGCCAGGAGAGCCCTATAAAAAGGAGCTACAGAGCCAGAGACAGGGCAGTTGCTGCTTGGAGCTGGAGAAGAAAGGACTGCATGCCTGGCTGGCTGAGAGAACTACAGCACAACGTACAGCTAAGTGGAGGCAGAGACCAAGAGAGCGAGAGGCTCCTGGCTGGGAGAAGGGTGAGAATTTGTGGGAACATGGGCCATTATAGCAGGGACATGAGAGAGATGAGAGGAAATCAAATCCATATCTTAGATGTCTATATACTAGTGCGAGAAGTATGGGGAATAAACAGGAAGAACTAGAAATGCTAGTGAATGAACAAAATGAAGACATAGTTGGTGTGATGTGTTTGGTCACAGAGACCCCCTTGGGACTGTCACCTGATGTACTGAAGCTCCCTCTGCCAGCTTGGGACTCCAGAACCCTGCCTTGTTGAGCCAGACATGCTAGCCTGCTGCAACACAGACCCAGGTCTGGTCCATGTCCCCAAAGCTGCAGACTTTAACTAAAAACTGCTCGGCAGGTTACTTGCCTCCAGCACTCAGACACCCAGCTCCCAAATAAATCCATTTTACTCTGTATAAAGGGTAAATTGTCCGCCCTCTATAACACTGATAGAGAGCTATGCACAGCTGTTTGCTCCCCCAGGTATTAATCACTTACTTTGGGTTTACTAATAAACAAAAGAGATTTTATTAAGTATAAAAAGTAGGATTTAAGTGGTTTCAAGTAATAATAGACAGAACAAAGTAAGTCACCAAGCAAAATAAAGCAAAAACACGCAAGTCTAAGCCTAATACATTAAGAAACTGATTACAGGTAAACTCTCACCCTCAGAGATGGTTCCAGTAAGCTTCTTTCACATACTAGACTCCTTCCTAGTCTGGGCCCAATCCTTTACCCTGGTACAGTCCTTGTTAGTTCCAGCAAACATCTTAGCTGGAAAGCAGGGGTGTTCTCATGACTGGCCGCCCCCTTTGTTCTGTTTCACTCCCTTCTATAGCTTTGGCACAAGGCAGGAATCTTTTGTCTCTCTGGGTCTAAATGTCTCCTTCTAAATGGAAAAGCACCAGGTTTAAGATGGATTCCAGTATCAGGTGACATATTCACATGCCCTGTGAGATCCCAGCCTTCATTCTTCCTGAATCACATGAACACAGGAAGGCTTGCAGGTAAATAAACTGTTTACAACCAATTGTCCTAGTCAATGGGAGTCATCAAGATTCTAAGACACCATTAATTGCCCACACTTTGCATAGTTACAATAGGACCTCAGAGTTATACTTCATGTTTCTACCTTCAGATACAAGGATGATACATGCATACAAATAGGATGAATATATTCAGTAGGTCATAAGCTTTGTAATGATAGCTTACAAGAGACCTTTTGCATAAAGCATATTCTAGTTGCATCATATTCACACTCATAAGCATATTTCCATAAAACATTATGGCGTGCAACATCACAGTTGGTATCACAGACACTTGGTGGGATAATACTCATGGCTGGATTATTGCTATTGAAGGGTACAGCTTGCTCAGGAAGGATAGGCAGGGAAAAAAGCGAGGAGCTGTTGCCTTGCATATCAAAGATGTATACACTTGGGCTAGAGGTTGAGATGGAAATAGGAGACAGACTTGTTGAAAATCTAGGGGTAAGGATAAAAGGGGTAAAGAAACAAGGGTGATGTCATGGTAGGAGTATACTACAGATGACCTAATCAGGAAGAAGAGGTGGATGAGGCTTATTTAAGCTAATGAAATCATCAAAAGCACAGGAGTCGGTGGTGATGGGGGACTACTCAGACATCTGTTTGGAAAATAACACAGCAGAGCATAGGTTATCTAACAAGTTTATGGAATGTATTGAAGACAATTTTTTCCCCCCTAGAAGGTGGAGAAAGCTACTAGGGGAGAGACTGTTCTAGATTGATTTTGACAAATAGGGACAAACTGGTTGAGAATTTGAAAGTGGAAGGTAACTTGGATGAAAGTGGTCATGAGATGATACAGTTCATGATTCTAAGGAATGGTAGGAGGGAAAAGAGTACATTAAAGATAATGGATTTCAAGAAGACAGATGTTCGCAAACTCAGGGAACTGGTAGGTAAGATCCCATGGGAAGCAAGTCTAAGGGGAAAAACAATTCAAGAGAGTTGGCAGTTTGTCAAAAGGAACAAGAGCAAACTATCCCACTGTGTAGGGAAGATAGGGAGTATTGCAAGTGACTTAACAGATCTTCAATGATCTGAAACTCAAAAAAGAGTCCGACAAAAAGTGGAAACTAGATCAAATTACAAAGGATGAATATAAAAAACAAAACAAACATGGAGTGACAATATTAGAAAATCCAAGACACAAAATGGGATTAAACTAGCTGGAGACATAAAGGGTAACAAGAAAACATCTACAAATGCATTATAAGCAAGAGAAAGACCAAGGACAAGGTAGGCCTGTTTCTCAGTGAGAGGGGAAAAACAATAACAGAAAACATAGAAATGGCAAAAGTGCTAAAAATAAATTTTTTGTTTCAGTTTTCACCAAAAAGTTGAGTAGTGACTGCCATCTAACAGAATGAATGCCAGTGAAAATGAGGTAGGAAAATAGGGAAAGAACAAGTTAAAAATTATTAGGCAAGCTAGATGTCTTCAACTCAGCAGGGCCTGATGAAATACATCCTAGAATATTCAAGGAACTGACTGAAGAGATATCTGAGCTATCAGTGAGTATCTTTGAAAAGTCATGGAAGATGGGAGAAATTCCACAAGACTGGAAAAGTGCAAATATAGTGCCAATCTATAAAAAGGGGAATAAGGAGAACCCAGGGACTTACAGACCTGTCAATGTAATTTCAGTACCTGGAAAGATAATGGAGCAAATAATCAAGCAATCAATCTGAAAACATCTCGAAGATAATGAGGTGATAAGTAACAGTCAGCATGGATTTGTCAAGAAGAATTTTGTAAGATCAACCAACCCAGTAGATTTCTTTGATAGGGTAACAAGCCTAATGGAAGGGGGATGGAGTTCCTATAAGGTGGGTACATAACTAGTTGGAAAACTATTCCCAGAGACTAGTTTTCAGTGATTCATAGCTGGAAGGGCATATTGAGTGGGGTCCCACAGGGGTCAGTCCTGGGTCCTGTTCTCTTCAATATCTTCATAAATGATTTAGATAATAGCAGAAAGAGTGCACTTATAACATTTGCAGATGATGCCAAGCAGGGAAGGGCTGCAAGTGCTTTGGATGATAGGATTAATATTCAAAATGATCTGGACAAACTGGAGAAATGGTCTGAAATAAACAGGATGAAATTCAATAAGGACAAATACAAAGTATTCCACTAAGATTGGAACAAACAGAAACATGTATTTAGATTGAATTGCCATTGCTATAATGAGGGTTTCAACAGAAACACCAAGCAAACAAGTTGCACACATACAAAATGGGAAATGACTACCTAAGAAGGAGTACTGCAGAAAAGGATCTGGGGGCTATAGTGGACCACAAGCTAAATATGAGTCAACAGCAGGGCCGGCTCCAGGCACCAGGCACCCAAGCTGGTGCTTGGGGCGGCACCTGGAGGGGGGCGGCGCGGCGCTCCGGCCGCCGGGGAGAGCGGGGCCACAGCCGGGCTCGCTGCCCTCCCCCCGGTGCTCTGGCCGCCCTCCCCCCGGCTGCCGGGGGGGAGAGC